AACTGCAACTTGTGTTATTCGAGCAAAAGCTATTAAACGCCATGACCATTCTCGTCAGCATAGTAACATAATCATGGAAGACAAGTCGAAATGATTATAGCCCCCATAACATCTTATTGCTGTTGTTATAGGTTTTAAATAACACTGTAATCCAACTTTTATAGTCATAATATCCGGTACGGTTTAAACATAATGAATTCGGAAATAGTCTTTAATTTTTATAGATATGATTATTAGGTTGAAAGAAAATACGTGTCAGGAGACCTAAAGGTTGAATCCGTAAGATGTCTGAAAATGGTAATTTTAGGCTATCATGAGACAGAGAGTTACAGAAAACCATTTAATTTTTTTGTGCCTATCATCTGAACACATCTATGTATAAAAACCATATAAGTATGTATGTACAATAAAATAGTAATAATTCTACTAAAAATATATAAAAGTAATATATTAGTAATAATATTTTTTTAAATATATGACTGTTACGTATTGTGTACGGAATATGGACTCCAAAACAATCGTTGTTAAAATTTTTGTCCGTTTGTCTGTATATCTATTTGTGTGCATTTTACGCTAAAAATTACTCGGATCAACATTTAGGATACCTTTTTCTTCAAGAAATTCTCTTCTCTTTTTCTACTACTACGAGTTGATTTTGTGAAAACACAAAATTAAACTAAATTTTTAAAGTTCAAAACTAAATGGCGCAAGTTGCTGATCTACTCGCGTACATTGTATAAAACAAAGTCGCTCGTCCTATGTCTGTTTCTTCGCGTACTTCTAAGTCACGTGACGGATTGTGATACGTTTTGCATTAATGATGTTCTCCTCCTAGCCGATTCCGGCCACGGCGGCCAATCTCATTGAGACTAGCCAACTGCGCAGGAGATATTATAGTGCACAAGTGTACGCGCAGACACAACGTGCACTCTCTATTCCTGTTACTCTCATTACTCCGGTGGGACGACTGCTCGACACAACCAGTGAGAGTTAAGGCGCAGGACCGACGGCTTTACGTGCTCTCCGAGGCACGGGGGTGAAACACCGCCAACTTCCCAACTCCGGGCTGTTACTGAGACTTACTATACAGAAAGACTCAATAACTAAACTTGGCCCGACCCGGGACTCGAACCCAGGACCTCCGAGTGTGCAGCCGTACATGCTAGCCACTACACCACCGAGGCAGTTAAATTTTATATATATTTTATATATAATTGCATTAATAGAAAGTGCGTTAAACAAGGAAAATTTGCATATATCATTTATAAATATAACATTTTGTTTGCTGAGCCTAAGCGATGTTATGTCAAAAAAAACTGTTTTCGAACGTTTATATCATGAACGAATTAGCCACGATCATGAGACAATACTTTAATGCTACCCAGATTTCTATAAATATTTTAAAATTATTAAACATAGTATTAAACGGAGAAAATTTTCGCGTTTTCCATTTACCCAGGCTAGGCCAATTCCCAATACTAGTTTGTATTTACAAATAAGTATATTTCTTTTTTTACGGTCAACAACAAAAAGAAGATATAAATTTCTATATAAAATTTTGCAGGTATCAGTTTAATTATGTATCATAAATATGCCGACATGAGTAAATATAAATGAGATAAACGTTTATTTAACAAACTTAACATAACCTCATAAAAAATTGCAAGAACACTTTGAGACGGTTATGCTGAATCTTTTTAGTTTTACCATTGGAATTATAAAACGAGACAGTCATGTCAGTCAACAGTAATGATATTGAATATTTTTAACCGACTTCCAAAAAGGAGGAGGTTCTCAATTCGTCGGAATCTTTTTTTTATGTATGTTCACCGATTACTCGAAGACGCCTGAACCGATTTGGATTTTTTTTTGTTTCTTAAAGTTCGTAGCTGGCAATATTTTAAGATATAAATATTTAATAGGTATGAACTCTAATTATAGTTAAAGTATTATACATCAATTAGTATTGTTTTTTACGTATCGAAATATATTAGATTTGCTTTGAATCGGCTGGCACCGACTTCAAAAGTATCTGATTAGGTATTTATTCTAAATGAAAACCCCCGTTTAGTTATTTTTACATTTTAGTGCCTGGAAATCGGTTTTTATTATTTTTTATAATATAAATGACTGTAGATATTATAAAAGAGAAAAATTGGTCAAGTGTGAGTCGAATTCATACACGAAGGGTTTCATCTTCTTCCGTTCTTTAAGTATGTAATATATTAACTTCGATGATTGATTACGAAAGTTAAAAAAAAGTTTCTTGAATTATTATTATTTTTTATTTTTTCTTTTAATATCTGTTGTTATAGCGGCAATATAAATATATACTCTGTGAAAATTTCAACTCTCTACCTATTACAGTACATGAACTACAGCCCTCCGACAGACAGACGGACGGACGGACGAACAGCGAAGGTTTAGTAATAGGGTTCCGTTGGCACCCTTTGGGTACAGAACCCTTTCTTAGCTTTTCTATATACATCTTTTTATAACTACTTCATACTTGTTACTCCTTTTCTTAAAAGCTAAAAACAAGTTTAGACCCATAAGAAACTAACAGTAGCAAAAACTTTCAGTTCAGCGATTCTATTCAGAGATGATTTTTATGTAAAGTAAATATCAGCGAATCTAACACAAAGAATCTTATGATGAATATTTTCGCTTAATACGACATTTCCATTCAAACTCTTACCTTAATACCGCGAAATCGGTTTAACGCGAATCCCTAAGTGCTTCGCGGAAATCACTTCCATTTTTCATATGCGAAAAACGCTATCAATACGAAGATTGTAAGTTATAGATAAAACATTAAAATAACTGTCTGGCCGTCTGTTACTTTTAATACTTAAACTGCTTAACAGAAAAATAGATAGACGATCAAATTTACAAACAACTTTTAACACAGTTTTCGAACGAGTAAAAACAACAGCCGATCGATAAAGAAAAAATGTCATGGTTATTCAAAGAAACTTTGCTCTCTCGAAAATATATATATTATGTACTATATTTTAAATGTATGTTAAAAAACCAGTGGGTTAGTAAAAAACGTGTGTGTGTACTTATGTACGCACGTAAGAAGTTATACTTCTTTGTTGTAACAGAACAAAAATAGCTAAAGATTTCATCCCTTGTGTCACAACTCTCTGTTTGTAAAAGGAATGCAGCTAACTTCATCATGTCGCTTTTTGGCTGTCGGTGTGCGCGCGCATCGTATAAATTTAACTCACATAATTTTTCCAAACGTGCCAAAAGAAGTATAACTTTAATAATAGTCAAATAACAAGAACAATACCACATTTATTTGTTACTTATTCAGCATGCAAAACATATATTTTATAACATCCAATATTCTACATCTAATCGAAATAGAGGAACCATTGAATCGAAAATGCAATTTTCAGAACAACCAATTGTAACGTGCACTATGTGAATAATACTAGAATACTAAAACATGCAACATGTTTTTGATATTGACTCATATAAAATAAATATGTTAGGACAACACACAGCACCATCTAGTTCCATGTTAAGCTACAAGGCTTGTGTTATGGATAACGTATTATCTAAATGAACCCTTTCAATTATAAATTATAATTTAACATGAAGTGTCTCTGATATACCTGAATTTTAATGTATGGAGCTTACCCGCGGCAATCACGTTTTATTTTGAATTATAGGGTGAAAGATAACTCAAAATGTATCATAAATAAAAAAAAGTATCTCAAATTCAAATTGAAATCCATACATACAAATCCATAATTTAAAGATATATATATATATATAACGTAGGTCGTCAAGATCCGTAGAGAGTACGCAAATGAAAAATTTAAAGTGTTATTTTTAAAAGCCTTTTCACCTACATTTCTATTCTCATGTACATCTATATAGAAAAAAAAATAATAAAATTATATAAATTATAAAAACTATAAATTACCCAAAATACTGGACCAGAGGGACGATAATTTCTAAACCTAAGTTCAAAGTGCCTTTCTTTAGCTAATAAAGGGACAGGTTTCTTTTGTGCTAGCTGAAATAAACTGCAGATTAATTTGAAATAACAATTAAATATCCCATAAACTTCACAAAACGAGCTTTATACATAAATAAACGCCTATTTAATTAATTTTAATAGGTAGGTTAGATGCTACAAAAGTTACAAGTTTGTTTGTTTGTTTGAACGCGCTAATCTCAGGAACAACTAATCAAAAATTTGAAAAAATATTTGCATTAGATAGCCCGTTTATTGAGGCTATATATCATCATGCTACTACCCAAAGGAGCGGAGCGGTAAAATAATATAAGAGGTACTATAATCTAGTCTATGTAACTATTGTATACTTACCGTTAAAACGAGGTTGAGTTGCTATTCAGTCTATAAAGGAAACAAATCGAAGGAAAGTCGTCTTTTATCTATCTGCTTACCAGATAAAAAGGCTTTGCATTAAATAAACATATACACATTTTTATAAAGCGCAGATGGATTGTCTTCTGTGTTTGCTTTTAAGTACCTGAACATATTATTTATTGAAAATGAAAAAGGTTTTATTATTTATTTAAATGTATTGATACCCGATAGTCGCTAAGGTAGAAAGTAAATCACTTCACTTGTTTTATATTTTATTTTAAGTCAATAAATATCTCTCATCACTTTCGAATAAACATACCTAATTAATTATACTAAGATTAGTCATTTCACTATAATAATCGTTATTATACAATCTATATCCTAATAATATCCAGCGTAAGAAACTTAGAATGTAACAATAAGTATAACTATAAATATTTGAGAATTGAATATTCCAATATTAAAGTTCATTTTAAAATTTTGCTTTCAAAATATCAAAGGAAGGTATCATCCAATTTAAATAACTCGACATTATTTTTGTTACAGACTATTTCTTATAATTAACATTAAAATTCAATTATGATGTTGATATTCAAACGCTGAATTTTCGTATTTTCGACCAGAAATTAACAAATATTTCAATTAGTCAATTAATTGGTAGCTTTTCATGGAGCCAGTTACGTTTGCCTTCATTAAACTCTGCTGCGGTGTGGTCTGTTCCTTCTAAAATCCATTTAGTTGTTAAAAGGCCTTCTACTCCAACTGGACCTGCGAAGATATTTTAGATTTATTATATAAACGCCTTATTTTATACCATTTTTACTAACATTATATGTTATACTAGCGGCTCACCCTCGCTGATCTCTCTGTGCCAAATTTCATTAAGATCCGTTTAGCCGTTCTGGCGTGAAAGAGTAAGAAACATTCATACATCCATACTCACAAACTTTCACATTTATAATATTAATATGGATTCACTTATTATAGAACGCAGGTTATATTTCTAGACGTTATTTAGACTAAAATATTACCTTAAATGAAATATTATTATAAATAAAGCATTGGATAAAGCTACCGATAATTTATTTCTTTGAAGCTTACAGTTTCATTTACATTATACGGTGTATTTACTCGGATTATTACCTCTTGCGTGTATTCTCGCTGTAGAAATTCCTACTTCTGCACCTAGACCGAACCTGTAACCATCTGCGAATCTTGTCGACACATTGTGGAAAACGCATGCACTGTCCACTGCACTTAGGAATTGTTTAGCAGTCATATCTGCAAAGTAAATCAAATTAGGTTTTACTTCATTATGTTGCAAAAACATACGACTTTAAAATAAGACATTTTATTTAAAACAACATGAACAAAATTAAAAAGTAGTGAAAGACGTCTATAATATTAATTACTTTTTTTAAATGATTATATAGATTAATGAAAAATTTCAATATTCTTCTTACCATTTTCCGTAACAATAACATCTGTGTGTGAACTACCGAATTTATGTATGTGGTCCACAGCTTCTTCCATATCCTTTACGATTTCAACACAGCATTCTAACGCACCGTATTCATGTTTCATAGACCTCGCCGCTGGTGGACCAAAAGTTAAGCGAGTCGCAAGTTTTGGTCCTGCGTGTATCTTAACACCTTCTTGTTTTAACATGTTACAAATCTCTGTAAATAAGGAACCTGAAATATGATCTTCATGTAACAATAATGTTTCCATAGCATTGCACGCTGCAGGGTAGTCACATTTCGCATCTCGAACAATTTTAAGTGCTTTATCATGGTCAGCATCTTTGTCCAAATAAACGTGGCAAATGCCTTCAGCGTGACCCAAAACAGGAATATGTTGAGATTGTTTTTGAATACTTCGGACTAAATCAGATGAACCTCTAGGAATAATCAAATCAATATGCTTTTCCATCGCCAGTAAGTCACTTATTTCTTCCCTCGTTGAAACTAATGAGATCGCATCCTGAGCTCCCACTGTACTTAAAGAATCTTTGACAAGTTCCATTAAGGCTTTATTTGAATAAGCTGCTTCCTTGCCGCCTTTTAATAGAAGGCCATTAGCAGAAGCCATAGCTAGCGCAGCAACCTGTGGTAAGGAATCTGGTCTCGATTCAAATATTACCAATAAAACTCCTATAGGAACTGTTACTTGTTGGAGAATTAAATTCTCCGCTAATCTTGTCTTCCGCAATACTCTTCCTACATTCTCGTAACTCAAATCTGCTATTTGTTTCAAGCCTATGGATAAAGTTTTAAGCTTTCCTTGGCTAAGAGAGAGCCTGTTTAACAAAGGTTTTTCAAGGCCAGTTTTAGTTGCTTCTTCTATATCCTTAGCATTTGCTTCTAATATTTGATCTTTTTTATCTAATAATAAATCAGCCAGTGTGTGAATAGCTGAGGCTCTATCAGCCGGCGATAGTTTTTGTAAAACTCTACTACCACTGCGAGCTAAAATATAATCATGTAATTATTAAATATATAAAACTTTAAGGTCTAAAATATTTAATGTGTATCACTTAGTCTTACCATTTTCAGCCATAACATCTACAGAGGTGGATGATATACTGGGGCAGTCAGTAAAGAAAGTACCAACTTTACGACCACTTATTATGGTTTTAATAGCTTTCTCTTGCATACCATTACATATTACTACACTGACTCCACGTGCCATGGCCCATGTTGCTGCATTAACTTTAGAATCCATACCTCCAGTACCAACCTAATAATACATTTTTTTATATGTATAAAAGTAAAACACGATAAGAGCAATTTAGAAAATAATAGTAAAATTTTATGTATATAAACAAAAAACATATGTAAATGTTAATTTATTAATTGTTGTTACACGCACCTTTGATTTCTGACCGAATTGTACTTGATCTTTTTCCTTAGACGTGTACGTATGCATCATACGAGCACCGTCTTCCCATGGCGGTTTGTTGTAAATACCATCAACATCCGACATCATGATAAGAAGATCCGATTGAATCTCAGCCGCAAGTAGCGCTGAGAGACTATCATTGTCTTTTATACCAATACCCTAAAATTTAAGAAATTTATCATATAATAATAACATTTTTAAGTATAAAAAAATATATATCGTTAAATAATACAGTTAGATGAACTACAATCAATAAAATCTTCATAATTTTAAAGTAAATTGTAAATTATAAAAAACAAAATTTAAATAATATTTATAATAATAATAATAAATATTCGATATAACATCATATACAGTGGCAATATATGTAAGTTAGTAGATACTCAGGGACAGATTTCAGTTCAACATTATTCTAAATAGAACGAACCCATAACGCATGAAAGCTTCACGTCGTAACCATAAAGTTTAATCTGTGGCCACTTTGACTGCTATGTTTTAGATTTTACTATATATGTAATAGTAACTTATGCCGAAGTTTTCGCTAACATGTATTACTTTATTTTAAATAATATAGAAACTAAGTGTATTTTAACATTATTTAAATATGCAGATTTTCATTAAAGAAAATAACATTCACGAATTCATTCATTATTTCTATATGCATTTATAATTTTAATTCTATAACTTTCAGATGATGTTACTGTAAATTACAAAATTTCATTAGGTTATGCCCATAGCTCGTCAGCGATGGAAAATCATATCGTAGTTTATTTATATACATTTTCTCCACTCCTTAGAACGATGTTCGATAACTTTACTCAATAAGTATAAATAGGCTATAAAATGAAATACCTAAATCATATTTTTTTCAAATTGAATTGATCCCAGAGATCAATGCGTTGAAAGAAATAAAAACTAACAAACTCTTTATAACAATAGTTATAAAATAATATATTTAAGTTAAAATATAAATAATATATATTGTAAGGTATCGCTATTTTAATGTATAATAAAACAGTTTTTAATTTATTATCTGGCAACACTGACTAAATCAGGCAGTTAAAAACATGATTGGTCAGGCCGAAAAAAAACATATAATTAAAATAGAAAAAAGAAATTAAAAAAGAGAGGATTGGTAGGCGGGGAGCTGACATGGGTTTATGCGAAACGTGATTTTTAACTGGAGCAAAAAAATAAGAAATTTTATAAATAAATTGTAACTAAATCTAGTTAAAATACACTCGTATAAGTTTTGAAACATAATGCTGCTTTTTATAGTACATATTTATGTACTATAAAAAAGCAGCATTTAATTAAATCAAACATAATAGAACCCAAGAATTTTTAGATAACTATACTTTGAATAATATTACCTTCTTTCCAGTTCCAGGTACAACAGTATCGTCGTGTATGTACATTGGCGGGCTAACTGCGTCGTTAGTGTTTACAATAGGAACGATGTTAAGAGAGATAAGTTCAGAAAGCGTTGCAAAGAGATTTTTCCTTGTTTCTTCATTGTAGAAATCTGGCTTAGTTACAAGAACCTGCAATTAAGTATTGTTTATTTACTTTTACTTGGCGATTTTATACTTAGGTGTTTTACTATAACATCTTACTCCAGACTTGGAAGCTACGTTTTTTACGTATTTCTTAATGAAAATTTTACAAAAACTTTGACAGTTTTTTTTATGATTATTATACGATTTTCTAATTTCATAATTATTTTTTGATGGTTAATTATATGTTAAGAAAAAGATTCCTCCCGGGAATGAAAAGGAAAGAAAAAATACTTTTAAAGTAATTAAAAATTCAGTGTGCTTTTTTAGTTAAAATGAATATTTGATTTATTCTTATATAATAAATACATAAGATTTATTCTTATTATATTATAGGGTCAACGGTGGATTCACGTTTCCATTTAAGGTTTTTTGTTTCAATATCTACTTATTAAGCTATCAAAATATAACTTCAGTTTTTTATTTTTATAAAAACCATAGGCTTTGCTAAACAATCGTTTTATATCATAACATGTTATATTACAAGAAGAGACGGACAATTTAACATTATTACACAAAGTGTTTGTGTAATGTAACATCATATTTTATTGTGAAGTTTTTATTGATGAGTTTCCCCTTTCCGGAAGAAATCTGAATATCAACCAATAAACACGTCAGTTATAAACAACAAAAGTAGCGTGCAGACGTGAAACTTTTATATTTTTATTTACTTGTAATCTTTTATTTGTTTTTTTTTTACTAAAAAAATAGACGCGAATTCTTTACAATTTAAATAACATTTTTTATTTCCTTCATTATTTATTTAATTTATTTCTTTTCTTTTTATTAATGTCAAACACTTCTATTTTCTTTTCGTTTATCTTTGGCGAGGATTCTTATAATTAAAAATTTCAAAAACCAATTTTTACAAGAATTAAACTCAATTCATTTTACAAAAGGTATTTTAGTAATCGAGTCACATAACACTGATACAAATAATTTATGTAAACTACGAGTAACGATAGCTGTAGCGCTTATTCTTAGAATATTAATCACTTGTTCATTATAGACTTAAGAGCGATTTCTAACATTTTACCCTCTCAGGAAAAGGCAAAATTACTTCGCGTTTCTTCCGCATTTATTTCATTCCGTACAAAATGTATATTTAAGAAAATGGAGCCAAACAACAGAGTTCTTTAGTAATATTAAAATAGTTTCAGACTGTATAATTTATTAGGACGTGGTGAATATACACTAGTGATGTCGTAAAGTTCTACGTTATACGAAATCACAAGTCTTTCTTTAAAATTTTAAATAAATTTCTATACTTTAAAAGTATTTTATAGACTTTTTACTCTAGACTATTCATGTGATATAGTCCAATATGTCTGACTGGTACTGCCAATTGCCCCAAAGAATCAGAAATCCTGGCAATGGATGCAGATGCTTGAGCCAACTGAACATTTACTCTCAGTTCACTAAAATGTGTAAAATAATTTATATGTAAAAATAAACAATGTTCATGACCGTTTGTTACCATGCAGTGATGCAAAGTAGAATATGTTTTCCTGTTGTTAATTAAACATAAAAACCAAAAACAAATTGAAACACATATTAAAGCGTACAATTTAATTAATTTATATATTTTGTATGTCTGTGTGCGGCTTCGCTCGCGCTAAAACTGCAAAAATATCTCTACAAAGGTAGGTTTTATACAATTTTATCCTCTATTTTACCCCCTTATAGGATGAATTTGGAAAAAGATGTCAAAACACATATTTATTAATTTGTACTGAAGAGTATTAATACTAAGTTTCAAGTAATTCTGATCACAATTTTTTTTGGTTTGTATTATAGCGTGTTTTCCCGTGGGAATAAAATAATCTCCCACGGTAAAAAGTAGCCTATGTCACTCTCCAGCCCTTCAATTATCTTCACACAAAAAATCACGCAATCCGTCACACTATCTTGACGTGAAAGAAGGACGAACGAACAAACAAACAAACAAACAAACACACTTTCACATTTATACTTAATATTAGTATGGATATAATAAATATTAATGTATTTAAATTGAAAGATAAGTTAGGGAACATACATAACAACAAATTAAATTTATTCCAAATTTTCCTTTCCTCCCTGACGAAATCCCATGCTTTTAGTGAATATTTAACAGTATACGATTATCATTTAAATTATCATAAGCCTTTGTACGTTGGAAATTTATCAATACTTTTGAACTGTTTTATCATTTATTGTATAATAAATTAATGATAATGAAATATTTTCTCAGTTTAATAGCATTCATTTTCCCGGAACGTGTACTGAATTATTTTATTGTTATTATGTAAATACTCAGATAGAAATACAATATAATTGTTCTGTTTATTTATTGTTTATGTAGTAAATGTTAATCTATATCTGTATTCTATACATATAACAAAAATTTAACCGATTGCTGTCTGTACATGGAAGATATTTGAGAAAAACTATTATTGAGGGGTTCTTATTAACGCAATGTAACCCAAAACATAGATTTTACAATTTTTATCTGTTTGTCTTTGCCCTTGTGCGCGCTAATGTCAGAAACGGCTTAACCGATTTGGGTGCGGTTTTCACTAATGTATTGTGGTAAGCTTCACTTAACATTTAGTGTATTCAGCCCTTTTAACGTCCCACTGCTGGGCACGGGCCTTCCTTCAGTACGAGGGGAATTAGACCATAGTCCACCACGCTGGCCAAGTGCGGGTCGGCGGACTTCACATGTCTTTTGAAAACTCGCTAGGTTCTCTCATGCAGGTTTCCTCACGATTAAGACCTTCACCGTTAAGACAAGTGGATCTTCATCAAATCATGTTGGATATAATTTGCACATGAAAATATCAGAGGTGCGAGACCCGGGATTTGAACTCGCTTCACTCGGTTTCCCAAGCGAGCATTACCATTGGGCTATCACTGCCTTGTAACATTTAGTATTTGTTTTATTTCAATCGGTTCAAAGATAAAAAAAGTTATGTCAATTAAAGAATAACCTATGGACGAATTCAAGCGTAGTGAGGATGAGTCACTATAGTCCTAAATACTACATTTTTGATTTTAAGAAGAAACTGATGATATTGAAGATTTTAATACGAATCTTGCCAAAAATACGAATATCAAAAAAACCATATAAATCAAAAACCATTTGATTTATATGGATTTGTTGTTTTACATACTTTTATTTCCAATAGATAAAGAAACAAGTCGTAACTTTTAATATATCAAGAAAATACAAAAATATGCGAACTAAAAATTAAATTTTCGTTTAATATTTTTTTTAATCTTATGTTTAGAAATGTTGTAAGCACATCGAGGCAAGTAAGGTTAATAAAAAGAATTTACTATCCATTGTTATTGAAATATTCTAATGGCCATATCCATTTAAAACTTTGATGGAGAAAGCCGGATATGAAATATTAATTTGGTACTATAGAGTTTATTTAATGATGGAGTTAGATGATAAGTGCATTGTAAAATGCTTTCATAGCTATTATTAGTAAAACAACAAAGTTTTGGCTATTTGATTCGTTTTATCGAACTCTATTCATTATAGTTGGTCAAAAGTATTTTTTTATATTTTTATAAGTATTGGTTTTGCATAAAGATCGATGAACCGTATATTGATATCTGGTTATATTTTAGTCCAGTATTGAATTAAGTTTTCCATTAAATATAATTATACATTAAATGAGACAATCTTTATGAATATTTTCTCGTGGTTTCATTTTGAGGTTTTGTTTGAATGTTTCATTTAAATTGTTAAATATTCACGTAAATCTAAGATACTATGTATGTATGTATGTATAATTTATAACAAAGTCGGGCTAGTTACTGCAATTATAACTCTCGAACTGCTGGGCCGATTTTCATGATCTTTGATTTGTTGGAATTGTTTCCCAAAATAGCAGAAAAACTATTAAAACATCAAAAAAAAACATCACCAAAAAAATTAAATTAAAAAAAAGCTGGTTAATAACTATTCATATTTATTTAAAACGTATCCAGGAATGCACCCGAGCGAAGCGAGGGCAAATCGCTAGTATATTTTATTAGTTAAATTCGTATATTACCTGAGCTATTTTGACATTGTACTGTGAAAACATCGCGTCGTACATAGACATAAGCTCGGATTGACCGACCGCAGCCGCCGCCCGTGGGTCCAAGATACTGCCGGCGTCCTGGAACAAATGTGCATAACAGGATACAGGACTGAATGTGACGGATTTTGCTGCATTTCCATTTATTATATACGCTGATTTCTATAACATGACTGGACATGATTGAAGTACAAACATTCGCCCTCATTACACAAATTAATGCCCCCAGCGGGACTCGAACCCGGGACCGCTGGCACCGCAAGTAGGGTCAATACAAACTGAGCCAAACGTGTTGTCAAATACAATACTTTGGTACAGAAGCTTTTTTTTAGTACAGAAGTAAAAATATACAGTTAAATAAGAAAATGATAAACGTGTCATTAATGTACATTTGGGCTAAGCTTAAAAATTAGAATTTAAACAAAGATAAAAAAAATTGACGACTCGTGTGGCTCAGTCTGTAGTGATCCTACTTGCGGTTCCAGCGGTCGCGGGTTCGAGTCCCGCTGGGGGCATTCATTTGTGTGATGAGCACGAATGTTTGTACTCCAGTCATGGGTGTTTATATTTTTTGTGTGTGTGTGTTATTATGTGTAATGTATCAACTATCTGCTATCCATAACACAAGCCTCGTAGCTTACCATGGAACCAGACGGTGATGTGTGTCAATGTCCCAACATATTTATTTATAAATTGAACAAAAATCAAAAATATTTTATAAAAAGATAGAACTCACTTCTCTAGTATGATCACTAGGTGAAAGCGTTTCCCTCATGGACATCGACATGAGCAACTCCTGCGTCAATTTCTGTCGCCCAAACGCCACAGCTCCACTCGTAACCATGATACACTCGCGTCCTTCGTGATGACATTCTGCTACCTAGAAAATATCAATTTTTACGTAAAGTGCTAAAACTTTTTAAAATATACTCGTATATAGCACTTCGTCCTATTAACTCTACCCGTGACAAGAAGGATAGCTTGTTTTTCGCCCAAAGACATTACGATTCAACAGGGAAAGAACAGAATGCAATAAGCATTCTTACTACAATTTGACGCGGACATGACTTGCACACTATCTATTAAGTGTACATTTATTTTGTATATATATTTAAGTGTAGTTTTATTGTATTTTTCTTTTCTAGATTTTTTTCTTATCTAGAAAAGCGAAATGTTCATTGTTCTCCTTTCGCGTAGCACAAAAACAACAAATGGACGTAATATTTGCATAAAGATTTTTGAGCTAGATAGTGTAAATTGTATTTACCTATATATTATTTATTAAATGTCACAAGAAAAAAAAAAAAAATATGTACTCTTGGTTTATTGCAAAAAAACTGTTTTATTTAAATGGTATAATAAAATAAAAATTAAATGACAAATTAAAAATAATCTTCATTGGAACATGAAGGAACTTTTACAACTTAACTTATGTACGATAGTGGCTATTTAGTATAAACTGTGTTGTTGCCGCTAATATATTAATGTATGGTAATAATGGACTAAGAATTGTTTGTGTGTTTACACGAAATTAAGAAAACAGCTCGTATTTGGAAGTTCCTTCAAAAACAACCAATAGGTACACCACTGTATGATATCTACTAGTAAATACAAAACTATGGCGTGCATCCATAATTTTACATAAAAGCTTATTCGAACTAATAACTACGGATAGCCATCATGCGTTAACTTAATGTGCTCGCTAGCAATTTCAATTTAATTGTCATTCTAGTTCAACAGCTACATTTACTGTTGGACAGCGAATTTCGAAAAGCCTACACAATATACATGTCGATCTATAAACATTAATTATCACCATTCGAGCTAATGAAGCATACGTGCTTAATCTGTTTATTTAAGCTCGAATAAGTATGGAAATAGTGGTCTAAATCACACATTTTCATATGATATACGAAAATTTTATTTTTAATTTAATTTATCATATTACTCCATCATTTCTGTATTTTACTTGACACTTTACACTCACTTTAAAATGGTTTTCCAGCAGCTTTTTTCCAAATTTAAGCCTTGTCTCGAAACTTACGATCACTGACTTAGTTTAGTAAGGAACATAGCATTAAGGTACTGAAGAATATATAGATATATTATTTTTTTTCAAAGATTTTATATGTATTCTCTTTATAAATATTTTGGCTGCGATTTAGAATTGGGGACTTGGCCCCTAGCGGAGTGGGTGGTATTTCTGGATAAGGGACGTGATAGGAAGTCGAAATGTTAAATAAAAATTTTCCGCGAACGTATGAGTAAAAATTTATTGAGACTTAAAGTTACAACATTTCCATACATTATTTTGACATTACTACCATTTAGACACTTGAGTCAAAACGTCACTTTCAATTGTCAAAATGATCTCCAGATGATTGTCTTTATTTGTACTTTGCGTGAAATTCGAATTTTCTAGTTTTCTAGTCATTTATGGCACTCGCCGGCCGCTACCGCGGCACGCTCGCTTCGCTCGCTCGGCTCGTGCGTTGTGGCAACTGTTCTAACCTAACCTAACCAAGATATGAGGAATAATAAATAAATAATCTTAAATGTTCTAACCTAACCTAACCCAGATATGAGGAATAATAAATAAATAATCTTAAATGTTCTAACCTAACCTAACCCAGATATGACGAATAATAAATAAATAATCTTAAATGTTCTAACCTAACCTAACCCAGATATGACGAATAATAAATATATGATCTTAAATGTTCTAACCTAACCTAACCCAGATATGACGAATAATAAATAAATAATTAAAAATATTCACAGATAAAAAAATGATTTTTTTTACTAAATGTACAATTGTAAAACAATATATTTTACATAAATCAGATAAAAAATCATAAATGTATTTATGAAATGAAAATAATATTTTTCTTTTTATTTATTTATTTATTAATATTAATATTTTACCAACAGAAAAAGCAAAAATAATCAAATATAATCTGTTGTCATTTAAGCGGTAATATAAAACAAAGTGTCAGTTTTGCTTTTGTCAAAATGTAAGATCATTTTGTTTGTGTTGTGAAATTATTAAAATATTAAATACAATAAAGCATTAATTGTTGTGAAAATGTGTAATGTACATAAAAAAGGATGCGTACTATTCGTTAAAGGTATGTTTATCTGTTGTAATCACTTATTTAGGTAAAGAAATGTATGGAAATGTGTTAGATATGTTATAACTTTAAGTCTCAATAACTTTTTACTCGTACGTTTCCTCCAAATATTTTTAATATATTTTGACTCTCTGTCACCTCCCCTATCTAAAAATACCACCCACTCCGAATGGTGGTAAAGAAATATATGAAAATGTATGGAAATGTTGTAACTTTAAGTCTCAATAACTTTTTACTCATACGTTTGCGGACAATTTTTATTTAACATTTCGACTCCCTATCACGTCCCTTATCCAGAAATACCACCCACTCCGCTAGGGGCCAAGTCCCCAATTCTGAATTTGTGCCAATATTTTTTTCATTTAAGCTCTAGTAAGTTGCCAAATCGATTTGTAGAATAACTTAATTTACAATATCACTAAAAATAATATCTGCCTTAAATTCTATTTTCTGATTGGCATTCTTTCTAAAACGACAACGAGTAGCGTTGTTCATTATAAATTATCCTGAAGAAGATCGAATTTAAACTCGCAACCAACTAAAATCCAGAACCTACCTGTTCTATAATAGAAGCCAACCTTCCTAAAGCAAGACCATTGCCATCTTCCCTAGTGATCACCGCGCTGCCAAGTTTAACTACCAGCCTCCTTGCGTACTTTAGTTGAGATCTATCTGTGAATGTCTGCTGCTTTCGTTCGGCACTCGCAATAGTACGCTTGTCCACGTTCATACCCTAGAATTAAAAAAAACTATAGGTATAAGGAAGAATTGAATGTACACCTTTGAATGTTATATTTGACCCATTTCAAAAAGGGGGAAGTACTCGACACTGGTGTGTATGTTATGTTACGTGATATCTTCCTAAATTATGAACTGGTTTTCATTTGAATGGGTTATATATTTCTAATTATAACATGATTTTGAAGTGGATGTACCTTTTAAATCTAAAAAAATTAAACGCATATTTGATTATTTTTAGTAAATTTACATCTTTACGCTTCATTCTTTGCCCAGGAAACAGTGTATCATAGTCATGATTCGGTGGGTATGTAGTGGCAGTGCTGACGCACACATTTTGGCCATATACCAATTGTATCGCTCCACAAACGCTAACTTATTCAATTCATTAGTCTTAACTCAAACAATTACTTCTTCCCAGAATCGAACTTGCGGTTTTAAACATAATAAAGTAACAGTAATAAATATACTCTGTTTTAAAGTATTGTGTTTTAATAGTAATGTACCTACATATATATTTCTTCAAATTTTTAAAATACTTTGTTATATATAGATAATATAATAATCTCTCTTATATTATACATCTTTCTTAGAAATAGCATCATTTCCTTTTAAGACACTATAAACAACAAGGAAGTCCCTCGTCATTTTAGTTGAGATACGTGTTAACAATAAAATGTCAAAAATACGAAGTAGGAAATTCCCTTGACACGCTATTAGTTCTATAATTAATATTATATAATATGGTATTCTTAAAAAATATATATTAAACTGTTCCCAAACGGCACGACTATAAGCCTCAGAAAAGAAATTGAACTGATTTGAGGATATTCTACAAGAATAGGTTTCCAATTAAAAAAAAGGTTTTCTTATTCTAAGGGCATGTACATTGTACATACATACTCGTGTATATGTTGTCGCTGTGGTGTTTTTCCATGTGGCAACTCTAATGTGACGCGCCCTCTGCAACTTTTACAAAAAGGAATGGCGGTAAATACAGCACTTCTTGACATTTGTTCAGGCTTCAGCACGAAAAATATACTTAACTCTAGTAAAATTGCTGGCCCGGTGAGGACACTAAATTGTAGTGGTAAGACTAGGTCTTAAGTGTTTTATATTAAATCATATTATTTGTGTATGTATATATATAAGTATATATATATATATGTGTGTGTGTGTGCGTATGTATATAATTGTGATTAAATTAGATTATTTAATACTGTATTTTCTTGTTATATATGTATGTCAATTTATTGATATATCTTTTATAGTGCGAGCACTTTTATTATGTTTCATTACGTAAAGCATAGAAGTAATCAACTGTCATCGTAGTACAATGGTTGAGAATAAAAGTAGCAGTAGGTGCGGTGCATACATATATTTATGTTAAAATTAATGCAACAAAAATATAAAATATTACAAGATGGCTTATTTATAAGACGCTATTATTAACTTCACCTGTTCATTTATCTATCTATCTATGTAGCGGAATCTTTAAACGCGATTTTTAACAACTTCAAACGTCAGATTAACTTTAAATTTAGCTCACTTGTCAAGGAACGATGACAATACAATAATTTGTTTCAAAAACAAAAATTTAATTTATTAAAAATAATAATTAAAAAAAAAACAAAAAAAGACGCTTTTATAGCAGATCAAATTAAAAAATGGAAAATTAATTATACTTTAAAAACCTAAAAACACACTTTAATGATGAACCGAACAAAAAAGTAAAAAATAATCTTTAGCTTAAGAATAAAGTGATGAACGACAAAATTAATATTATTACGTAAAAAGCGTGGGGTGCTCGATATCAGTTGATATAAATCATCAACATTTTATTTTTTCACAATAACATTAATTTTCTCTTTAATCACTTCATTATTATACTAAAAAAAATTTTTTAATTTTTAGTTCGGTTGTTCATTAAAAAGTGTTTTTAGTTTTTTACACTATATTTTTTTAATTATAAGTATTTTCTATTGAAACAAAGAAATTTTCTTAAAGAAAGTTTTAAAAAAATCTTTAATAAACTTTCATTTAGAGCTTATTTACAGTTCTAATGAAAATGTTATCTTAAGCCTCCAATCTTTTTAGAAAAAATAAAACGATATCACCCAATAAAATAATTTCAGAATACACAAGACCTAATACTTTTATAAAAAATGCTTGGCATAAGTAAGTTATAACTACAATTATGTTTAATTTTTATATTCCGTAATAAAAAGAAATGTCTGTTATTACAAAAAATAATCGTATTTAAAATAATCTTGTGAAAGTGTCTCAAAGGACAGCTGTTTTTACTTATTTTAGAAGAATATTATAAGCTGTGATTGATAATTTCATGATGTTTATATTGTAAAGTGTTTGGCTCTGATGAAATTTTTGATAACGTATTCTTATAAGGTTAGATAACCGTCGAGAAAGTATTTTTTTCCCAATATAATCCAAAAGAAAATATAAAGAGTAAAGTTTTAGCAATTGCAATATTTAAAAAAAACTTTTGGATGTAAAAAAATAAGATTTTAAGATATATACATTTGGGATAAAACTTTAAAGGTTTTGATTTTAAAAACTCATCATCTTCGTGTAAAAACATATTTTTTTTATTAATTTATTTTAGGTCGCTTTTTAACATCTAAGGTCATTAGCGACCACATTGGACATAAGTTACTTACAATAATTTATATCAGTAGGTACATATTTATCATTTTCAAAAATTCAAAACCATCTTGATTTAAACAATCCTTTAAATTATTTGGTACATTACATAACCGTTTCTCATTATTATATGCTGGACATTCTATCAAAATATGGTATACAGTCAAATCTAGACCACACTTGCATTTGTTTCTGTCAGCCTTAGTTATTAAATGAATATGTGTCATATTGGTATGACCAATACGCAAACTCATGATAACTACTTGATCTTTCCTACAGTTAAATAACAGGGGTGCTTTATCAACAATTGAATTCCTAACATTAAATAATTTTGATGTGTTTCCTGTCTTCTAAAATGTGTCCCAGTAAATTTTAATTGTATACTTTATATGTTTATGTAAATCACTGTGGGTTGGTTTAGTTATATTAGAAATATCATTTTCATTAGTTGCATTTCTAGCTTCACTATCAGCTTTTTCATTACCAGCAATACCTTGATGACTTGGAATCCATATAATTTCAAATTTGTAACCATTTTCTAAAAGATTAATCATTTTTTGTTTAATTTCTATAATAAGAGGATTAATATTTTTTGGATTTTGTAACGCTGTTAGGCATGATTTAGAATCTGAATAAATTATATATTTCATTAGATTAGATTCGCTATGTATTAAATCTAAAGCTCTGAGGATAGCTGTTGCTTCACAACTAAAAATCGAATAATAATTCCAAAGTCTATACCGGTAAGATAAATTTCCAGTAAAAAACATATTATTATCATAAATTTCGAATTAGATGCATCGAAACTTTCATGTCGGTGTCAGACTCGAATTTGTCGATTTTATTATTATATCCAAAGGTCTTAAATTATTTTATATATATTACACTATTCGATCTAGGTATTTCATAGATAGATACATACACTTTATTGCAATAATATTTTGTGTGATTTAAATTGTAGGGGTTTGAATAAAACATAATTCTATAAACAAATATAGTAAAAAAAAGTTGGGACATTAACACACAGCACCATCTAGTTCCATGGTAAGCTACAAGACATTTATGGATACCAGATAGTTGATACACTACACATATGTACGTCAAAAGTACAGTACACTCAAATATAACCTTGAGATTATTAAAAGTGAACCATAACAACCACGTTCATGATATTTAATTACATCATCAGTTTAACGCTACTATGCGCACTAAGTTTCAAGCACTGCTTCTGAAGAGATCAGCCGTCTCCACTCAGTTCCATTAATCCGAATCTCATTATTTTATAAGCATTTCTTTCTTTGTAAATAATTTAATTAAAAAACTGTTGTTTAAAATCAATTATTTACTTGATATTAAGAATTTTCATTAGTGAACACTCAGGTAAAATGGACTCCATTTGAATGAGATCCGAAATAAATTCATTCATTGTAATTGCAAAATACGAGGGCCGTGAGATCACCAGCAGCTGCGAAGGGATTGAAAAGGCGTATAATCTTTTAAAATTCGAAATTTTACTCAATACAGTGAAAATATACGGAAAAAATGTTTGCAATTAAGAAACGAGAGTTTAACAGATGTAATTTATAAGTGCTTGTGAAACATCAAGCAGTAATTACTTTTTAACTATTAAGGTACATCGACTTCAAAATAACGGTAAATTATTATTCAAAATAAGTATTCGAAAACTAACACCCAAAATCTATATCTACATCAATACATATAATAAAATTGTAACTAAGCCGAATCTGTACATTAAATATTTTTTGGAAAATCTTATTGAAATAAACATTACTATCGATACAGAGGCCGAATGTATAGTTTTTAGAATTTTTGTCTTCTGTCTGTTACTGCAACCACTGGACGGATTTTGATGAAATTTGGTATGGTGATAGCTGGTTCTCCGGGTCAACATATAGGATATTTTACCGCGGGAAAATATCTCTGTGAAGTCTATACTAACCGTTTACTACCGTTTTTAAGTTTACGCTTAAACAGCAAGACGGATTTGGATGACATTTGTATGTACTCGTAAATAGAGTATGACCTAGAGTAGAAGAAAGAAACACATAGGCTAATGTTAGTAATAAAATTTGCCGAAATGTGGAACTGATTGAATATCCATACTAATATTATAAATGTGAAAGAGCGTTTGTTTGTTTGTCTTTCTTTCACGTCGAAACGAATTGGCGTGAATTTTTGTGTGCAGATAGTTGGAGGACTGGAGAGTGACATAGGCTACATATTGCCGCGGTAAATTTTCTAATTCCTACGGGAAAACACGTTATAATACTATTCAAAAAAATATTTATGATCAGAATTACTTGACACTTGATA